CAGGCGTCCAGGCTGTACCTAGGCAGACCCGCCTAGCCCCGGTGTGCTGGTGTTGCCTACCGCCCAGGCGTCCAGGCTGCACCTAGGCAGACCCGCCTAGCCCCGGTGCGCTTATGTTGCCTACCGCTCAGGCTGTACCTAGGGCACACCCGCCCGCCCGGCCCCCCTGTGCGCTTATGTTTGCCCACCACCCATGCTGCACCTGTCCAGCCAGACCCGCCCAGCCCCGCTGCGTGCGTGTTGCCTACCGCCCCCGGGCGTCCAGGCTGCAGGGCGGACCCGCCCAGCCCCGCTGCGCTACGGTTGTCCACCGCCCCTGGCGGCCGACACAGCCCGCCCCCGGGCCGGTGCGCGCGCTGGCTCTTGCTTTTGCCGGCCGTTGCCGTTACGCCCCTGGGCCCGGCGCGAAATAGGCTGTGAATGTGCTGCCGCGCCTCTCTGGGCTGAGCGAGGCAGGGAGGATGGGAGGGAGGGACGGAGGCGGAGAGAACTACTCGTCCCTCATCTGGCGGACCGTGACTGATAAGTGAGCACGATAAGGTGTACGTGCGGTGTGGGGGTGGGGCCATAGCACGGCATACCTTATCTACTACCCGCCCCCACCGCCCCCACCGCCCCCGCCCCCGGATCTGTAATTGCCCGCGTGTGAGGACTACGCCATGCTACGGCACGCCCCCCTCGAGGGCACGGCGACACAGCGACTCCGGCGGAGGTGCGACGGAGGAAGAACCGAGGAAATCGTGGCTATACAGCGTTAGCTTGGCTTCAGAACACCTCCTCCATGGTTTTCCTCGGTTTTCCTCGAAACCAAACCGCCTCGCGCCTCTGTCGTATACTCTCACCGACCGACTCCCCCCCGCTATAACCACACAGTGTCGGGGCGTTGTGCGCCCATGGAGTGGGGGGGGGGGGGGGCACAGCTCTGGTGCACCTGGAAGCAAGGAGTCGCTCGGGTCCTCGCTCCGCACTGGTCGGCCTTGCGCGCCCGCCCCCTCCCGTCCCGCGCCGGTCTCTCTCTCTCTCCTTCTCTCCCTCTGTCTCTCCTCCCCTCCCTTTCTCTCCGTTTCACTCCCGTTTCTCTCATCTCACTCCACCACCGCTCTCCTCCTCTCTCTGCAGTCACAATCGCACAGCCTCTCTTCCTACATTCAATTACCTTGCTCTGCTCTCTCCCCCTCTCTTGGGGTTGCCGAGGCGGCGGTGCACCAGAGCAGGGCCCGGCCGGAACCCAACCGGCAAGAGTGTGTAATCTCGTGGACAAGTACCCCATCGGGGAAAAAGAAAAAAAAGGAAAAGGGACATGGGACGGAAACGAGATTGTTATTCATACACCCTGTTTGATAGCATTTTTCCTGGTGGTTCACCTTTTGTCACGGTGCCTGAATTTTTAGGGAGGCGCAGTCAGCCACGATAAAAAGTAGCACCGCACCGCGTCACCCGAAGTGCGACGTGATTTCTGTCGTGGCCGATCCGAGTAATAATAATGGGTGGCTCCAGTAATTGAACTAGCCGCCGTCGTAATAACCCTTTTTTGAACTGAGCCTGTGTTCGCGCCCTTATGCCTGCGCGCGGAGGTCCGCGACGACGTTCGTTGGGACCCCGTGCGTGCGGGGCGAGGCGCGGGCAGAGAGTGTTGGAGCGGGATATATGGGCCTGGCCAGCCTGGCCTATTGGGCCGCTTGGCGTGCATGCGGAAATTCTGTAAAAATAGAGCAGACTGACGACTGCTGGCCAGAAGATCGTTGAGCCCCGCGCGCGCGGGCGCCACTCCACGCCACGGCCGTCTGGCTGGCCTTAGTCCTGCCTAAGTGGCTACTGTGCTAGGCTCATCTCAGAGGGGGAGGGGGGGAGGGGGGCACGGCCGTTTGTGCAAGGGGAGCGGAGTGCTCAGGGTGAGGGGGGCGTGCGGGGGCGTGTTGTGTGTGTATGGCACCGACGGTATGGTGGTGTGCATAATTCCAGTCTAACTGCTTGACTTCGATCTATCCTCCTCCCCCCCCCCTCCCCTCTCCTGCTCCCGCCCGCATGCCGCCGCCTCCCAGCTCCGCGCACCTGAGTTAACCTTGCGGCGCCCCTGCTGTTTGCAGAGTCGTCGTGTCGTATGGGCCCTACTAGTAGGCCGCCGGGGGCACGGCGGGTGGTCGCGCTGGGTACACGTGCCAAAAGTTGTTTCATTGTGTTTCGAGGCGAGAGAAAAAAAAATTAGACGGAAGCCTTTTGGCTGAAAACTGCTCATGTCAGACCCTTCGGCCAGTTAATGCTAAAATAAGCCATAGAAGGGTCCATTTACATTTTTTTTAAAAGAATTCCAGTCAGTTTCTGTACTTGCTAGTGCTGGCCTCTATTTATCTGGTAAGAGCGCGGTGCCCTTGTAAGTTCATCCGAGCTGGACGCGGGGCAGAGAGCGCGTCACGACAATTTCGCTCTATTTATTTATCGGCCGATCCCCCGCGGGCCGGTCCGGCTCGGGCGGTCCGCTCTGCGCCCGTGACGTCGTCGCCCGGCCGATCTTCTCTGGCTTATGGCGCTTTTTATCGCTGCGAGTCGGCCGCCGGGTCGACATGTCCGTCAAGGCCGGGGGCCCAGCCCCATAGACCAGCCAGCCCCGGGGTTGACTCATACCATTGACTCGATGGCCCGCCCAGGCTGACCGACCACCGGCCTCCCCGTGGCCCCCGCCGCCCGGCCCGGTGGTATCTAGCGGGGCTTTGCGCCTTATCTCTGCAGTCGACCCAAATACGCGATATTGGCCCGGCGTGGCGCTTGGGGGGCCCGCCCGCCTTGGGCACCTACCGACTTCAATGACGCCCCCTCCC